CCAGCACTTTGGGAGGCTGAGGTGGGCGGATCACAAAGTCAAGCGATCCCGACCATTCTGGCCAATAAGGTGAAACCCAGTCTCTCCTAAAATGCAAAAAATTAGCCGGGCGTGGTGGCACGTGCCTATAATCCCAGCTACTCAGAAGGCTGAGGCAGGGGAATCACTTGAACCCAGGGGGTGGAGAGGAGATTGCAGTGAGCCAAGATTTCACCACTGCACTCCAGCCTGGTGACAGAGCAAGACTCCATCTTAAAAAAAAAAAAAGGATAAATCCTTGTCTGTTATAAGAGAAACTCAATTGATCATTTATCATCTAGACTCAATAAAACAAGCAGTAATATCATGGGCACATCACTTGGAGATAGGGAGGTGACCTCCACTAAATCCTGAAATAGAAACTGTTAAGAGTTCTTAAAGGCTGCCTTTAGCTGCAGAACCAGGGGTGGCGTGTGGGAAGGAATAGACTGGGAACGTTCCTTCTCATGACAAGCTCTTTCATGGTATTTCATGTTTTTAACATCAACTTTACTTTGAAAAGTTTAAAATTGTTAAAACTGATTTTTGAAAACCGAGACTGAGTTTTAAAAGAATAATGAAACAGGGATAAATAGAATACCTCCCTCTCAAGGTTCAGGATGAACTGAGAACACTGTGTGAGAATGCTAAGACACACCAAAGATGCTATCCTGCCTGCCTTTTTAGAGGGAGGGAAGGGAGAATGTCGTCCTGCTGTCCCTGAAGAAACTGACGGCAGGAAAATGTTCCTCAGCATGTGTGATGGGTCACTCAACCCTGACGGCGCAGCGTCTGTTGAGTCCACGCTCAGTAGCTTATGACGCTGCTAAAGGACTTTATAAATAAATAAATAAATAAATAAATAAATAAATATATATATATATATATGTATATTTGAGACAGAGTTTTGCTCTCCTTACCCAGGCTGGAGTGCAATGGCGCGATCTCGGCTCACCGCAACCTCCGCCTGCTGGGTTCAGGCAATTCTCCTGCCTCAGCCTCCTGAGTAGCTGGCATTACAGGCACGCACCATGATGCCCAGCTAACTTTTTGTATTTTAGTAGAGACAGGGTTTCACCATGTTGACAAGGATGGTCTCGATCTCTTGACCTCGTGATCCACCCGCCTCGGCCTCCCAAAGTGCTGGGATTACAGGCATGAGCCACCGCGCCATATAAATATTTTTTATGCCAATGATGAACGCAAGTTACAGAATTTAAATACAAAGAGGAAAGCTCCTCCTGGGCTTCTGATGCAGGGCAGCATCTCCAGGAAGGCAGGGTGCCCCTTCCTCAGTTTGCATCTCAGGTAGGATAGACTCTCCCTACCCTCTCCAAAAAGGAGCTCAGTGCCAGGAGCATCCGAGCTGGGGACAAGACTGACGCGAGCTGCAGCGCCGTTTGGAGGCACACAGGGAAAATGAAATGAGGTGATGGCTCTGCAGCCTCAGGACCGGACCTCAGGCTGCGCTCTGCCCTCTAGTGTCTGTAGACGCTAGTTACACTTTGAAAATGCTCAAATGTGTCCGTGAGAACTTTTGAGTTACTTGAGAAAGAAACCAGAGAGAGAACTGAGAAATCGTTCAGATGGCACATTATTGAGACGTCAATGGGAGAGTGGGTTTCTGCTTCTTTGGATTCTGTCCTCTAAGCCAGTGGTTCCCTAGAAATTGGAAAAATAAGGCTAATACACAAAAATGCATTTAAGTTCGAGGATTGCCTTTCATACTGAGATTTCTGTTCTGCTGAATTCGGGGGGTCTTGTGAAAGTGACGGCAACTGGCAATTTTCTTTCCATGTCTCATCTCCTCTCCCAAATATTTTGGGAAGGTTTACTCATTTGTTACACACCTATTTCTAAGAACCGCTGTTCCCTCCCATCAAAACAGTCTTTCCAATTCATAAGCATGGAATTACTTTCGGTTGGAATGGATGTCCAGGATCATCAGATCCAGGGAAGATAAGATATCTCCTCTTCATGTTACAGATTTGAGACCTAGGCAAGACCAGTGATCTGTCTGCTATATAATTCAGTACTTTGCAGATGGCAGAAACTCAATAGGAAATGCTGTAAAGAATAAAGGTCATGGGTGGCAGATAAGGCCCAGAGCCCAGATATTCTGTCCTTTCACCACACCAGGATCATCAGATTTCTGGAAAGACATGGGCAGTCTGCTTAATTGAAAAACTGCCAGGTTTTCATAACAAGAAGGTGTTGGACTGGGGACAGGAACAGCAGGAATCCAGCGGGGAGAATTGGAGTTTGTCTTGCTGAAGGTGAGCCTTGGAAAGTCTCATTAGACATTATCATACTGCAGTGGGAGATGTGTGGGCAGGTGTTAGTGCCTCTGATGGTTTTCCCTATGGGCTGCGATGTTAATGAGACTGAGGGGTTGGAAGGAGTTACTTGGCAGGGAGTACAGAGGAAGACTTTGTGTTCTGCAGAAAGAGAATGGAGACATAAAGGCCTATGAGAAATGGGAACGTTCTATACCATGGAGGGAGCAAGGGGACAGAGCCTTAAAACTAACTTTGAGGTCAAGTGCCACATGGCTTTCAGAATAACCAGGGGCTCTGAGTGCAGGGAAGTGCCGAATACTTTGCACTGTTAATGTTTAAAAATGCCAAGCTGTGTGCCAAAATGCCCTCCAAACAGTTCTGTAATCTTATATTTTTGTAAATTCTATATTACAGTTTCAGAAAAAAACTGTTTCTAATCATTTATTTAATGTTTCGTGAGGACATAGAGAAAGTGAAACCCTCATGCCTTGCCAGTAGGAATATGAAATGATGCAATCTCTGTGGAAATCACTTTGGCAGTTCCTTAAAAAGTTAAATATAGAATTACCATATGACCCAGCAACTCCACTCCTAGGTAGATTCCTAAAAGAACTGAAAAAGAGGTATTCAAACTAAAGCTTGTGCATCGGTGCTCATAGCAGCACTATTTACAATAGCCAAAAATGGAAACAACCCAAAAGTCTATCGACTGGTAAGTGCTTAAAGAAACTGTGGTATAGTCATACAGTGGAATATTACGGAGCCATAAACAAGAATGAGGTACCGACATGTCCTATGAGGTAGATGAAACCTGAAAACCTGCTTAGTAAAAGAAGCCATACAAAAAAGTCACTTTTTTTTTTTTAATGAAGTCTCACTCTGTCACCCAGGCTGGAGTGCAGTGGCACAATCTCAGCTCATTACAACCTCCACCTCCCGGATTCAAATGATTCTCCTGAGTCAGCCTTCTGAATAGCTGGGATTATAGACACATGCCAACACGTCCAGCTTATTTTTGTATTTTTACTAGAGACAGAGTTTCACCACATTGGTCAAGCTGGTCTTGAACTCCTGATCTCGTGATCTGCCCACCTCAGCCTCCCAGAGTGCTGGGATTACAGGTATGAGCCACCGCACCCAGCCTAAAAGTAGTATATGATTCCACTTACATGAACTATCTAGAATAGGTAAGTCTACAGAGACAAAGGTTGGTGGTTGCCAAGGACTAGGAGCAGGGGGAAGGGGAGTAGACTGCTTAATGGGTAAGTAAGTGGTTCCCTTTTCGGGGGGCAATGAAGATGCTTTAGAACTAGATAGAGGTGATGGTTGTACAATATTGTGAATTAGACACTATTGTTGTTGTTATTTTGAGGCAGGGTCTCGCTCTGTCACCCAGGATGGAGTACTACAGTGCAATTTTGCCTCACTGCAGGCTTGAGCCTCCAAGCTCAAACCACTCTCCCATCTCAGCCTCCCAAGTAGCTGGGACAACAAGCATGGGCCACCACACCCGCTAATTTGTTTATTTTTTTGTAGAAACAGATCTGTATACTCTTAAATCATGAAGTTTATGTTCTGTGAGCTTTACCCCAATAAAAACTGTTTAATATTTAAAAATATATTTAATAACTAGTCACTTTAGTAACCAGTTACTACAGAGATAATAAAAAGACATTGCAATCTTAATAACCGTCGTATGTTTCTCTTGGATTAAGGTTATAACCAGTCCTCCCTCTTTTGGAGTTTCACATCCAGAGACTCAACCAACAGTAGATTGAAAATATTCTGAAAAAAACACCACAATACAACAATAAAAAATAACACAAATTTTTAAACAATACAGCATAACCACTGTTGACATAGCATTTACATTGTAGTTGGTATTACAAGTGACTAGATATGACTTGAAGTACGCTAGAGGCTGTGTGTAAATGTCCTCCAAACAAGTCTATAAAAGACTGACTATAATCAGAGTTTGAAGGACTATTTTTCTTCAGTTGGATGGATTAAAACTATTACCAACCTTTAATAATTTTCTGACCCCTGCAATTCATTTTAATGACTTATGATTATTATTGTGCAAATACTTAGGATAAATTTTAATGAAAGGCTTTCTTTTATGTGCTGCAAATGATTGCTATGGTTAATAAAATTCACCTATTTTACAATAGTAGAAAGAGGAAAAGTTAGAATTGATTTTTTTAAAAAGACCATTAAGACCTTTGGAAGTGGGTATCTCACTGTATTCCCGATGTCACTGACTCTAAGGTGCAAATTTTTTTCCAGTTTTAACATTGCTGAACTCAGGGTGCCTGTGACAGGCACTGAGACCAGGCAGCTGTCAGGATGTAGCTGTAGCTGTCATTGCCTGCTCTGGTTCATCCAAAAGTGCTAAATCATGTCGGGGACCTGGGGGACAATTCCAGAGACAAGAGTGCGCTCTTTAAAGAACATTCTTGATTTTGAAACATGGACATTAATGAGTCAAGGTCAAAAAATGGTTGTGAAGAGTTGAATTCGGAATGTGAAGTTGTCTCAGGAATGCTTAGACACTTTGTTTCAATTACATTTGACTTTTCATATGTGTGTGTACATACACACACACACACACACACACACATGATATAGAGGAATGTCTTTGCTAAATAAGCCTTAAGAAGCAATTTCAATGAGGTCCAAATAAAAATTAAAATGATAAACAAGTATTTAATCATCATTTAATTGGCAGCATTTTTTGTCTCCATAGAACATAAAATAATGGTGTTATATATTCAGTGATATCTTCGATATAATCAAGCATAGCGACTCTTTTGTATAAAATCTTAAACATTTGTATTATTTTTGAAAGTCATTCACAGCTCCAAATATTAAAACTGGTACACTTTTAATTTAAAGGTTAGCATATTTCAGTTTAGCTCTTTCAATACATGTTTACTGAAAACCTGCAAAAATGAAGAGATATATATCACATACAATGTGGAATATTAAAATATATGATAGCTCATACTCCAAAACAATTTACAGTCTGATTGATCCATGATATTACTGATCTATGATTATGAGTAACATTCATTCAAAAAATATGTACTGAGTAATTTCCATGTATCGGGTTCAGTTCTGGGAACTGGGAATACAGTAGTAAACAAAGCAACCTTCCTACCCTCCTTGAACTCGCCTTCTAGAAGGAAGACCGTCTGTAAAAGGGACATATAAGTAAATGTATATAGTGCTGGTCAGTGATAAAGGCTAAGAAACAAAAGTAACTGAAGACTGGAAGAGGACTGTAAATGTTGGAAGGAGACTGAAGTTTTAGGTAAGTATCTAGAAAGCCTCCACCAGAAAACCTGCAGGAAGTAGGGGGCAAAACAGATCACAGGGGAAAAGAGCATTCCAGTGGAGGGAACCTGGAAGGCCAGAAGCGGAGGCGTGCCTGCATGTTGAGGAACGAGGAAGGTAGTCCAACTAGAGTGGAGAAAAGAGCGTAGCAGGTGATGGCATCAGAGAAGTCAAGAGCAACCAAGTCACACTGAGCCCGTGGTCAGAGTTAGGACCTCTGCTTTTCTTCTGAGTGGGATGAGAGTCATTTGCGATGTCTTAGCAGAGAAGTGACTCACTTTTCATGGGTTTGCCTTGACTGCTATGTTGAGAGGAGACTGAAAAGGGGGCAAGGCACAGCCGGTAGCCAGTTAAGAGGTGTCTTAGTCGAGGCCCAGCTGCTATTACAAAATACCTGGGACTGGACAATTTCTAAACAATCAAAACTGACTCTCAAAGTTCCAGAAGCTGTGAAGTCCAAGGTCAAGGCACCAGCATATTCTGAGTCTGGTGAGGGCCTGTTTCTCATAGATGGTGCCTTCTCTGTGTCCTCGCATGGCAGAAGACAAAAGGACCTAGCTAGTTCCCTGCAGCCCTTTCATGAGGGCATTAATCCTATTCATGGGGGTAGAATCCTCATGACTGAATCACCTCCCAGAGATCCCACCTTCTAGTACCATCAGGTTGGGGTTTAAGTTCCAACATATGGATTTTAGAGGGACACACACATTTAAACCACAGCAGCAGGTGAAAGATGAGGGCACCTTGGATCATGGTAGTGTGAGTGAGGAAGGTGAGAGTGATAGAACTTTGAATATATATACAGATTTGAGATGAAGTCTCACTCTCCCAGGCTGGAGTGCAGTGGTGCAATCTCAGCTCATTGCAACCTCCACCTCCCAAGTTCAAGTGATTGAAAACCTCAGCTTTCCAAATAGCTGAGACTACAGGTGCATGCCCCCACACCCAACTAATTTTTTTTCATATTTTTAGTAGAGACTGGTTTTCCCCATGTTTCACAGGCTGGTCTTTAACTCCTGACCTCATGTGATCTACCCACCTTGGCCTCGCAAAGTGCCGGCATTATAGGTGTGAGCCACTGCACTCAGCCAAATTCTGAACATATTTTGAAGGTAGCACCAACAGGATTTGTTGATAGATTGGAGGTGGGGCATGAAATACAGAGAGTTGTCACATGATGCCATGGTCTTTGGTCTGAGCAAATATAATGAAGTTGTCATTAGCAGGATGAGAAAGAATCGAGGAAGCACCATCAAGATCTCAGTTTTGAACACGTTGCATTTGAGATGCTGTGCTCTGTGAAGTGATTCCAGCAGGTCTAGAATTGGCCTGAACTTTTACTGAAATGAGAAATAGACCTGCATAGCATTGTTCCCTGGGAAGACACAGAACATATTGATTACTAGTGGTACTTTGTACCCATAGGTCTGTGGAGTTTTTGGATGGTTTATACTACCTTGTCAGCATTGTTGATTAGTAATGGTGAGGTTAGATTGATGGCTTGCACCTGGTTTCAGTGAGGACCGTCTCCTCCCTCACCCCCTAGAAGGCTCTGCCATTGGGCTCAGTTGCACAAGAGCAAGTGCCCAAGTGATGCCTATGGGATAAAAGGCACCCAAGATCAGACGGTCATGGTGGTTCACACCTGTAATCCCAACACTTTGGGAGGCTGAGGTCGGTGGATCACCTGCGGTCAGGAGTTTGAGACCAGCCTGACCAATTTGGTGAAACCCATCTCTACTAAAAATACAAAAATTAGCTGGACATAGCCGTGGGCACCTGTAGTCCCAGCTACTCAGGAGGCTGGGACTCGAACCCAGGAGGTGGAGGTTGTGGTGAGGCAAGATCATGCCACTGCACTCCAGCCTGGGTGATACAGCTAGACTCCTCAAAAAAAAAAAAAAAAAAAAAAATCCTGAGACCCAAGACAAGACTCCATTTGGGGCTCCCTAGTTGTAAGGTGTTCCATCTACGTATCAGTGGTTCCTGATCTGGGAGAGGGCATGTCAAGTGTGGCCCTTCCAGAGGGAGGATAATTGGAGCTTGCACCTGGCCCCTCTGGACCCCTTGCTGTGTGACACAGCCTGTTGGAAATAGATGTTCAGTGCTGCAAAGAAAAACTGGCACTGAGACAAAGTGTCTTTCAGCAAGGCAATTTTTGCCTCCTGGACTGCAGGAAGGGTACCCTCGCTAGTCATCGTGCATGAGAGTACAAAGAACAAAGGTAAACATGCAAATTTATTTCTTACACATTTGGGGTTGTCACTGCTGTGTCTGATCTCCATTGGCTGGAGCCAGACCTCACAATCTAAACTAAAACCCCATTGGCTAACAACTTAAGACTTTTCTAAACAGGTAAAAGCAGTGGAGAGCTGGGAAATGCCTGTGAGCACGTCCAGCACAGTTAAAGTACAAGGACATAAAATGTACTATGTGCCTGTAAGCATGGCATGTCTAATAGCTGCATAGGATAGGGCTTAACGAAGAGTTATTAGCACACTTATGATTTATTCTTTAACAAGAAACCAAACTTTAAAAAGGAACTTTTCTACTTCCCACACAGCCCTCGGTTGTGATGCATGCCCCTACTTCAAGCTGCTGCTATATCGTATCCTCTTCCTGCAGAAAACTGTGGATTGGTAAACACTGTCATTTGGTGACCTGTAAGTCTTTAGCAATGAAACTCTGCTCAACTGCCACCAATAAAGCAGATGCCAGTTAGACATTAGGAGGTTGATTACAGAAATGGACTCTAAAGCTCCTCCTGTCAAAGATGAAGTCTATTTACCCACTCTTTGAATTGACCAGTGACTTTCTTTTGGTAACAGAATGTGGTAATAGGAACAGTGGCTGGTTCTGGGCCTAAGCCTTGTTAAGTGAAGCCAAATTCCACCTGGGGTTGCCTCCGTTCTTGTGTCTAAGTTAGATTGCAGTAACAAACTGCAATCTAACCTAGACATAAATTAGATGAAAGCAAAACTCACGAGCAGACTTTGGTAACAAATAGCTGAGTCCCAACCAGTCACAGCAACTGAGCTTCAGTCAGTTACAGGTGGCCAACTGATCAGACCAGCTTCAAATATAGTGTCTGCTGATTGGTTACTGAGCTGTAACTAATCAAGTTGTTTCTGAAGCTCATTTCTGTTCTCTGTCTATAAATGCTGCCTGCCTACGTTGCAAAGTAGGGCGCTCTCACCTGCGTGTTTTCTCTCTCTTCTTCTTCCTCCCACCCTCCCTCTCTCCCTCCTACCCTCCCTCCCTCTCTCCCTCTTACCTTCCCATCCTCCCTCTCTCCCAGGCTATCCTGATGAAGGATGAGACATGTGCAGCAGAGTGAAATCAGCTCAGTTTTCCCAGCTGAGGCCCCATACATTTGAGAAAGCCCAGAAAAGATTACTCAAGCCATTCAGCAAACCCACAGCTGACAATAGATGCATAAATGAGCTTCACCAAGCCCAGCACAAATTATCTGAACTGCCCAGCTGGTCCACATACTGTAAGCAAAAATAATAGTTTGTTATATGCACTAAGGTTTTGTGGTTGTATGTTATACAACATTATTGTGGCAATGGGTAACGGACACATATGTTCAAGTAGAGATGTCAAGCAGGCAGTCGGATGCATGCGTCTGAAGGTCAGGTGAGAAGTCCAAGCTGGAGGAAACTGTGAGAGCATTCAGCAACGTAGTGGACACAGCTGCTCCACCTAGACTCCCTGCGGTACCTTGTTTTCTTTTGAGAGCCCCACTCCTGCTTTTGCTTCTAACACCCAGCACCTGTGTCTTTTTGGAGTCTTCCCTTAGGCTTTTAGAGCTGCTTTCCCCTCCACAATCAGAAAACAAGATATACTTGGAAATTGACTTCCCTCCAGGACAGTGGTCCCCAACCTTTTTGGCACCAGGGGCCAGTTTTGTGGGAGACAGTTTTTCCATGGACCGGGCAGTGCAGGGGATGGTTTTGGGATGATTTGAGCACATTGCATTTATTGTGCCCTTTATTTCTATTATTATTACATTGAAATCTACAATGAAATAATTACACAACTCACCATAATGTAGAATCAGCGGGAGCCCTGAACTTGTTTTCCCGCAACTAGATAGTCCCATCTGAGGGTGATAGGAGACAGTGATGGATCATTAGGCACTAGATTACCATAAGGAGCATGTAACCTAGATCCATCACATATGTAGTTCACAATAGTGTTCCTGCTTCTATGAGAATCTGATGCCACTGCTGATCTGACAGGAGGTGAAGCTCAGTTTCACTCTCTGGCCCACTGTTCATCTTCTGCTGTGCAGCTCAGCTCTTAACAGGTCAGGACCAGTACCAGTCCCTGGTCCAGAAGTTGGTGATTCCTGTGCTATAAGACAGGAGGTGGAGCTCAGGCAGTAATGCGAGGGATAGGGAGTGACTGTAAATACAAATGAAGCTTCACTTGCTTGCTCATCTACCACTCACCTCCTGCTCTACAGCTCAGTTTCTAACAGTACCACAGACAGGTACCGGTTCGTGGCCCAGGGTTTGAAGACTCGTGTTCTAGGACAATCCTTGACCAGTGACACACAGGCACAGGGTACAGAGCAGAAGGTGTGTGAAAGCCTAGTTCTCTTGTTCCAAAAAACTCTGGGCATATCTTAAGCCCCAGGGTTTCTGTACACCCAGGATTGGGTTAAACCCACCACCCTTTGCAAAGCCTGCCTGAGATTAAACCTTTGCTGGGCTTTCTCTCCTCTGTTTACATCTCCCTCAGCCTTACCAGTCCAGGGAGTATTTCCTTAAGAAATCATGTGCGTACAAATCAGGCTCTGCTTCTGGGTCACCCACCCTAAGACAACACATAAGTAATATTTGAAGCCATAAGTCGAGATGAGCAATCTATAAGATTAGCAAGGGGCTTGGTATTCATAGTTATTCTCTATATTTAGCATTTTAAGCATTTTGATTCTTTTTAATTTTGCATTCCTTTTTAAAATTTTGGAACCAAGGCAATTCTGAATGTTGCTAAGTATGAAGTCTGCCCTTGCACTGATGAATTTATGGAGCAAATATTCAAGATTCTGTCAGAGTCGGATTTTCTAACCAGGTTAACATCCCCTTGATAACATATTGGCTTCTGGATGCAAATGTAAAAATAAATAGAGGGATGGGAGTGTGTGAGACCGTGTGCAAGTGTGTGTGTGTGTGTGTGTGTGCACAGACACTTCTATTGAGGCAGGAATAAAGGAGTCCTATGCGTGTTATTGGCCATCAGACCAGGTGAGAAACAGCCCCATGGAACTAGAGAACACATTCCAGATTCTGGAATGTTTTGCACAGTATCTGAGAGTAATATGGTAAAGCTCCAAAAAGAAAAAATGAACACAAATACATATCATTCAAAAATATTTATTTTAGGTCATTTACTATATAACTGTCAATGCACATGTAGGATGAACTTATCAGACATGATTCTGCCCTCTCTGCCCTTAAAAGTTTATAGGCTAATGAGGGGAGGAGAGATAGGCATTAAATAATTACCTAGATAATCCTTTACTTGTTATTTGTGTTTGAAAGAAAAAGTACGAGGCATTCTTAGGGTAAATGACTGGGGACTAACTCTCTGTGTTAGTAACTGGAGAAAACACTCTTTGGCTTGTCCAGACTCTGAGCCCATCACCAGACTCTGAGCTCCCCAGAGCAGAGACTGTGTCTTGCTCACCCTCCATCACAATGCTAGATTTGTGGCACTTTAAAAATGTTTGTTGAATGGATGCATGAGGTTACTAGTGAGGATGAGAATAAGGGCTGGGTAAAGGAGACCTAGGAGAAGAGATTTCAACGTAAGTTGAAGCCAGATCATGGAAGACCTTAAGTATCATTTGAAAAAGTTTGGACTTCATCATGTGGGACATGGGGGGGCCACTAAAAGTGTCTGAGTCAGATTGATGTGATTAGAACTGTGTTTCATGAAGGCAACTCTGGAGAGGCTGGGGGCAGGGGGCCAGCTGGGAAGTCACGTAGATTGGTGGTAGCAGAAAGGGATGGGGAGGAGGGAACAGCGACAAGGGGATGATTGGCTGCATCAGACCCTGAGAACTCATTTCAAGTGAGAGATTTGCTCTGGGGCATTTGCCACCAGAGGCTGCAGTTCACATAAACTCTCTGTAACGTTTCCTAAGAATTCTCCAGAGGCTCATGAGTTTTCTAGTTAGGTAATTAAGAAATAGTTATGTTCTCAAGAGAATAGCTGAATGCCCTAGATAATTTCTCCAATTTTGATTTAGCAAATGGGTGAGATAACTATGCCATCCTTCCTTTTTGACTGATGCCCACCTCCTTCAGACTAAACAACCATTCAATCACACTGCAGCAACATCAGTCACCGATGACGTCTTTAGAAGCTTCACTGTGTCAGCGCCTGGATTTGGGCGTCCCTTTATGAACTAGAGTTTATGGTTCATTTTTATTGCTCTATCTCCTACTCGCTGTAATTGCCATTACTGTAGATGATACCGTGGGTTGGTTTGTTCATTAAAAGTAAATAAGTCTGAAAGAAAAGGGAGCATACCAAAAACTTATGCTGTATTGCAAATTTTATATCAGAAGTCAGGAATGAGAAAATTTAAGATTCTCCAGGCACTCAAATGTTAATTTCTCTGCCCTACATATGTTTCAAAAGATATTTCAAATCTGATCCTGAATCCGAACTAATCATCCATAAGGTGGGTGGGTTAGCATGAGCATAATTTATCTTCTGGTTTGTTAATTTCATAAACAATATTTATGATTAATTATTCTGTGCACTCCTGAACATTTATGAGGGTCTATTATGTGCCAAACTCTTCCATATTTTATATCTTTATGTACCTAAAGCTTTCATCTTCACACAACTCCTGCAAGATGCTGTGTTATTATCTCTATTTTACAGTTGAAGCAACAGGCTCAGAGTGGTTCAGTGATGTGCCTGAGGCTACACAGCTCATCGGTGATGGAGCCTGTTGGAAATTGGAGTTACCTTGGCTCCAAGCCCCACTCCACTATCCTGCCTTTCTCTAAGATTGAACCAGAGCTCCACAACTCAGCAAAAAGGTTGAAAGTCTTCTCTAACGTAGGCGGATAAAATGAAAGCTGTCTTTCATGCTGCCCTGTCATCAAAGCCGAGAGCAAGCCTCAGTAAGTTTACCAGTTTGAGTGAGCAAAACAACCCGATTCCCAACAGCAAGCAGGCATGACCACTGTTGAGAAACATTAAGTTTACCCTGCCCCCATGGTTCTCTTGTGGAAGATACTTTTAGTTTCTAATTCGTGGTATTCGGGTAACAGCTGCCTACCTAGTATATTTGTATATGTAGATCACCTGTGTATTAATAAGAATCACGTGTCAAAGAGCAAATAAACACATGGATGACTCTCTGCTCAGGGGTTTTCAGTCTGGAGAGCTGTCAGCCCCACAGGCTCTCAGGCTGTTGGTCCCCAGGATAGATTCACTCCGTTGTGCTGTTTTGGTATCTGCCTCTCAAATACCTTCAGCGCCATCTGGGTGGGGGTCTCCCAACTGAGCTGGGTTTTGGTAAGAGGTGCCAAAATGTGGAGACTAAAACCCAGGATGAAGGATTGCCTGAACAATGTAAAAAGAGGCTAAGCTGAAGGTATCTCTGCAATGTTTGAAAAGAATCCCCCAGGTGAGTTAGGGGGAGCCAGAAGGAGCCCGGGGGGAGACTCCTAGGTGAATTAGGGAGAACCCAGAAGTGGCCCAAATACTACTGGAAAAAATCCCTGGGGTAAGTTGGGGAGCTCAGGAGGAGCCCAAGGGAGACTCCCAGGGTGAATTAGGGAGAACCTTGAAGTAGACCAAGAATGTTTGAAAAAATCTCCCAGGGTTAGTTGGGGGAGCTCGGAATTGGCGCAAGAACATTTGAAAAAATCTCCAAGGGTGGCAGCTGGGGGAACTCGGTCATATTGGGGTAACATCAGCCAAAGATCAAGCCAACACAGGGTTTATTTGGTGTGGTCCATTTGGACTTTGGTGTGTTTTGCCCTGGAGCTGTTTCAGACATAAGATGAGGAAAAGGATTCAGGAGAAAATTCAGGAGAAGAGAAGGAGTGTGATTAAGTATGTAAAGAAATCATGGAGCAAAAAGATAAAAAGTCAAATAAGGAAAAGGTGTGCCCATCAGCCCTGCTCAGTATCTTGTAGAGAGATGGTCAGAGCCTCCCTGATATTTCTACCGCTGCTTCTGTTGGCGTGTGTGCTCCTAGAACTATGGTAACCAGTCCAGGTGCTTATACTCCTATATCTATGGTAACCAGTTCTATCCAAGCTGGGATTCAACAAGTGGGAAATGAGGGAGATTTAGAGGCATGGCAATTCCCAGTGGTTACACACCTTCCAGATCAGCAAGGGCAAGTATGGGTTGCTTTTGAACCCCTTCCCTTCAAACTGTTAAGAGTTTAAACAGGCCATCAGTCAGTATGGGCCTGAGTTTCCATTTGTGCTAGGATGATAGAAGAGCATACCTTTTTTGTTTGTTTGTTTTAATTGTATTTGGCTCTGGAGTACATGTGCACATCCTACATCCTGCAGGATTATTGCATAGGTACCTACATGCCATTGTGGTCTGCTGTCTCCATTCCCCACCTCCACCACCCCCCAACACTTCTACATCCCCCCATCAGGCATTTCTCCCAGTGTTATCCCTCCCCATCCTCCCCGCCGCCATCCCCCCTCCCCCACACCTAGCTCTGTGTTTCCTTCCCTGTGCCCAAGTGTTCTCATTGTTCATCACCCGCCTATGAATGAAAACGTGGTGTTTGGTTTTCTGTTCTTCTGCCAGTTTGCTGAGAATTATGGTTTCTAGGTTCATCCATGCCTGTACAAAGGAAATGAACTCATTGTTTTTTATGGCTGCATAGTATTTCATGGTGTATATGTGCCCCCTTTTTTTTTTTTTTTTTTTTTTGCCCAGTCTATCATTGATGCGCATTTGGTTTGGTTTCCAAATCTTCCCAGTCATAAACAAAACCACAATGAACATAGGTGTGCATGTGTCTTGATGATAGAATGATTTATAATCCTTTGGGTATATACCCAGTAATGGGATTGCTGGGTCAAATGGAATTTCTATTTTTAGATCCTTGAGGAATCGCCACACTGTCTTCCACAATGGTTGAACTAATTTACACTCCCACCAACAGTGTAAACGTGTTCTTATTTCTCCACATCCTCTCCAGCATCTATTGTCTCCAGATTTTTTTTTTCTTTTTTTTTTTCTTTTTGAGATGAAGTTTGGCTCTTGTTGCCCAGGCTGGAGTGTAATGGCGCAATCTTGGCTCACTGTGACCTCCACCTCCCGGGTTCAAGTGATTCTCCTGCCTCAGCCTCCAGAGTAGCTGGGATTATAGTGCCCACCACCATGCCTAGCTAATTTTTTTCTATTTTTAGTAGAGATGGGGTTTTACCATGTTGGCCAGGCTGGTCTCGAACTCCTGATCTCAGGTGATTCACCTACCTCAGCCTCCCAGAGTGCTGGGAATACAGGCATGAGCCACTGCATCCAGCCACCTGATTACTTCTTAATACATTTAAATTCCTAACTTTGGGGTGAAGTTGACAAAATTTTTGAGTTGATTATTTGTTGGCATATAGGGTTTTCATATTGAAGGCTGCTGTTCTTGATGGCAATAGAAAGAAAATGCAAGACCAATCAGTCTAAGGTGAAACAAAGTCAAGGGAAGAGACTATTAAATTTTGTGCACCCATGTACATTTTATCATCAACTACATTTACAATAACATCTTCCATAACTTATAATAATGAAAATAATTTGTGGTAGCATACACCTATAATCCTGGCTTCTCATGAGGCTAAGGCAGGAGGATCCCTTGAGCCCCCCGACCTGGTCAACATAAGGGAATCCCATCTTGGCCAGGCATGGTGGCTCTCACCTGTAATCCCAGCACTTTGGAAGGTCAAAACAGGTGGATCCCTTGAGGTCAGGAGTTTGAGACCAGCTTGGCTAACGTGGTGAAACCCCATCTCTACTAAGATACAAAAATTAGCTGGGCATGGTGGCATGCACCTGTAATCCCAGCTATTTGGGAGGCTGAAGCAGGAGAATTACTTGAACCTGGGAGAAGGAGGATGTAGTGAGCTGAGACTGTGCCACTACACTCTAGCATGGGTGACAGGGCAAGACTCCAGCTCAAAAAAGAATAAAAAAAGAGATCTCATCTCAAAAAAAACCCAACTTTACATAATGCTGTAAAAAATCATTTGCTACACCTCAGCTATTTCTGACCAATTTTTAACTACAGGCAAGAAAATCATAGACTTCAAAATGATTCATTCTGAGTTGCTAGTCTAGTCTCTTGTTTACATTACTCTCATTCTAGCGAAAGAGGATGTGATTTCCAGAGTCAACGTGCCTTCATTTGGGCTTGCTCTTTACTCTTTATCTTATTATTTTTCATTTCTAAACTCACACAGGTGCAGAGCTTTCTTTACACAAAGCAGAGCACATGGCCAAGGAAAGGATGTGATTTCCAGAGTCTGTTTCTACAACTGCCCTAAAAGTACAAATACTTTAAGAAATGTAGTAGATTGATTTAAAGTCACAATACATTATAAGTGAGAATTTTTCTCAAGATAAAACAGAAAGATGCTAGGTATATCAAAAGGGATGCTTCAGAAGAGAACCACACTAAAAGGAGATTAAACTCCCCAAAACAAAGCTTACCTACTTCACAATTGTGATGAGGGCTGGCAGACTAGCACTGGAGAGGCAGTAGAGACACAGAAAACTCACCCAGGCTGAGTGAGATAGGAGACCCAGGATCCAAATAGAAGTTCCAGGCTGTAGCATTGTCATCTATTAACTGGTCTTCTCTAACTCCTCTGAGACACACTTTCTTCACCTACAAAATCTAAGATATGTGACAGAGGGAAAGAAAGAGAATCAGTTTGATCTCTATTTTTTGGTTTAAGATTCTTAGATTATGCAAATGATCACTTTATATAGCACCACCTCCACGTAAGTACCAAACACACAATTAGTTTATGTTATTGAACACATGCTCAATATGGGCTTGAGTACAGCTAAAGAAACATAAGATTCAAGCTTTTGGGTAATCCATACAAGGGAATGATGACATTAAATACTATAAAATCATGTAAGTGATGGCATGTTAAGTTTTTCACTGATGAATAAGTGGGAATTCATGTTATATCCAGTGAAGACCCTTTCACAGTTATATTTGGTTAAGGTACCTTTCCAGTCCTGTGTTTATACAGGTAGAACCTCCTCTTTTTTTTCTTGAGATGAAATCTCACCCTGTCTTCTAGGCTGAAGTGCAATGGTGTGATCTCAGCTCACTGCAACCTCCACCTCCCAAGTTCAAACGATTTTCCTGCCTCAGCCTCCAGATAGCTAGGATTACAGGTGCTTGCCACCATGCCCAGCTAGGCTAATTTTTGTATTTTTAGTAGAGATGGGGTTTCACCATAAGGCTGGTCTCAAACTCCTCACCTCATCATCCACCCGCCTTGGCCTTCCAAAGTGTTGGGATTACAGGCATGAGCCACTAAGCCCGGGCACCACTTCCTTTTTCTATCTAATAAAATATTGGTGGGGAAAAGACCCTCTGGCATTTGCTGTCTCATTTGTTCCTTTGTTGTAGTGATAGGGAAAGCCATAAAATAATATTTCAAGAAAAAGATGAGATATAGATGACTTTTTAGATCTCCTTCTGGCCTTATGGATTTACATGTGTTTTTAGAGAATAAAGGTAAAATAATAAATATTAGGCTAAATGGTAATGTGGAAGTACAGGGATAATTCAAAGTTTAAGAATTCCTTACAGCTCATGCCTGTAATTTCAGCACTTTGAGAGGCCAAGGTGGGTGGATCACGAGGTCAAGACATCAAGACCATCCTGGCCAACATGGTGAAACCCTGTCCCTACTAAAACTACAAAAATTAGCTGGGTGTGGTGGCACACACCTGTAATCCTAGCTACTCAAGAGGCTGAGGCAGGAAAATTGCTTAAACCTGGGAGGTGGAGGTTGCAGTGAGCCGAGATCAGGCCACTGCACTCCAGCCTGGTGACAGAGTGGGACTTCATCTAAAAAAAAAAAAAAAAAAAGAATTCCTTCCCCATGTTTAACTGGTGTGCTTTGCAAGGTCTAGATGACATCAATGATACAATTCTTGCAAGCAACAGCAGCAGGGTTCTTGGAGGTCCGTTGTCACCTAAAAATTTTTTTCTTCCCTTTATGTTGTTAAATAGACTGAAGATTTCCCTGAATGGATAATGGAATTAAGTTTCTCAAAATATGGTCCATGGACTGCCTGTCTGTACCAGCATCATTTGCGGTGCTTGTTCAAAATTTGTATTCCTGGGGAATGGAGGTTTCACCACTTTGAGACCCACAGAGACTCCATTATGCTTTATGCAGGGTCACAGATGCCTCTAGAATGAAGTAGATACTCCTTTTGAATTCCTGTGATGTGAAACTGATAGCAAATATTAATCCAAAAGCAAAACTGGAAAAAAAAATTCATATTCTTGGTCTGTACCTGAGATCATCTTGATGGATCTCAGGTATGCTTGTATTGTATTAAACCCTCTGGTGCTATTTATACACAATAATGTCTAAAAATCACTGTCTAAATTAAGAATTCACATTCTACTGCATTGGATTAGTGATACAATGAAATTCAGGTCCAGAGTTTTTATCATTCAATATCCAAAACACATGGAAGTGACTTTTATACAGCTTTCAAAGCATAACACATGTAAAATAGACAATACAAACAAGCTTTAAAAAGAATAAAATCAATGGCTGGGTGCGGTGACTCAGGCCTGCAATCCCAGCACTTTGGGAGGCTGAGGCAGGCAGATCACAAGGTCAGGAGTTTGAGGCCAGACTGACCAACCCTATCTCTTCTAAAAATACAAAAATTAGCCAGGCATGGTGGTGGGCGCCTATAATCCCAGGTACTCATGAGGCTGAGGCAGGAGAATCTCTTGAATTGCAGTGAGCCAAGATGTAGCCACTGCACTCCAGCTTCTGTGACAGAGTGGAACTCCAAAAAAAGAACAAGAAGAAGAAGAAAAGAAAATCATTCCATAATACTGTTATCCAAGGAAAAACAATAGTTGAGGACTATTTGTGTGAATTTCCTTCAAGTCTCTAAATATCATCATATAGATCATCATAGGTTCTGAAAACTCCTAACAGCAGGGACTGTGTTTCTTCATCACTGTAACCCTAGGGGCTGTCTTTTATACTTAAATTCATAGTGCCCACACACTGCCTCTAATTAGTAGTACTGAGCACGTGCTGAATAAACAATGAGTGTATCTAATGAAAAAATGACTGAGGCAATGTATTTGCATGTCTCCTTGAGAGCAATTTTAAAGAATACATATTCAATGTAGAGAGCATATTTATTTCCTTCAAAAGGAGAACAAATGCAAAATATTCCAAAGTTTGCGCTTAGAACTTTAAGACTGTTACACATGTTCTATCTTCTATCTTATATGAAGCAAGTACTGGTGAGATTAGTGTTAAGAAATGTATTAAAATAGGGTGTTTCTGCTTACTTTTAAAATTGTGAGCAGAAAATGATTTATGATAGTCAACCTAATTTACAAAAGGAACATGGTAGCGTTTTAGTAGCAGCGGCAGGACTTTAACGGGGTTGATGTCATAACCCTATTTTTTAACAGAAAAACATGGCTTCCAAAATATTGTGACACTAGCATGGTTGCTTTGTATTTATGAATCTGATGCAGACTTCAGGCAGTAAATCTCAAAATGACTTGTGACGTGTGCCATTTTTTTTTTTTTTTAAGGAGGCTGAACACAGAAAAGGCCAAAGGAAAGGGGCCATTGTCTTCCTTACGAAGGAAGGCATATTGCTACAGGACTTGCCTCTCACAAAAGTTTTTTTGTGAGGCTTTAGAAAGTTTTAATGTGTATTAAAATGCATTGAAAAACATCCAGCTGATTAATAAATATAAAATAGTATAATTATACAGTATTGGCAGCATATTTAAGTTATGCTAGGTCAAGGCTACATATATGTAAAGTAAAAATAATTACTCAGCAAGTCAATATAGCATAGCTTTGTTTATATTACTAAGAAAATCATTTTTAATTTCAGCAAGAACTTAATGCTATATAGATTTATGTAAATAAGAACATAACCCATAAATATGAAATTACAGAAATACATATGCATTTTAATTTCATTTAAAACTTATGATGAAACATGGATTTCATTATTTATAAATGATATAACCTGGCCCTCACCACAAATAGGACTATGAAGTATGAATACAGTTGTAGGAATACATATTATCATTTACTAAAAGGTAACACAAGCCTATGTGTATTGATGAAGCAGCTATACTACTGAAACATGCCCAAACTGAATTGTGATGATTTTAAATGCATCAAGAGAGATTAATGATTAAATGGTTTCAATTGTTACATAAATTAGCAAACTGCTAGGTCATAAGTGCTGTGGGAAAAAAGCAGTGTAAGAGGATCAAGTGTGGTACATATCTAGCTGTGTGTGTGAATATAAGGCAGGTTCCAGTTTTACTAGAGTAATTAGGGTAGGCTGGGGGCACGGAGGGGAAGATCTACACAGCCAAAGGAGAGACAATGTAAAAACACTGAGGCCCCATTTGATTCTAACAAAACAATCTCACCACAGATATAATACCCCATTGAGCAGGTGTGTACAGTGTCTCAAAGCAACTTAAGCAAGGGAATAGAGCTAGTAAATAATAAAGCCAGGGCTAGAACCCAGGTTTCTTGACTCTTCATCCAGTGCCTTTCTTTTGTTTTGTCCCTCTGTTCACCAGGCACAGAGGAAGGTGCCCTGTCTCTTAGAAAGCACTGTGTAAACATCATGGATGAATCTGGAAACCATCATTCTCAGCAAACTGACCCAAGAAGAGAAAACCAAACACCACATGTTCTCACTCATAGGAGGGTGTTGAACAATGAGAACACATGGGCATAGGGAGGGGAACATCACACACTGGGGCAGGTTGGGGGTGGAAGGGCTGGGGAGGGACAGTGGGCGGGTAGGGAGGCTGGGGAGGAAAAACAGTGGGAGAAATGCCTGATGTAGCCGAAGGGGGACAGAGACTGCTAACCACCATGGTATGTGTGTACCTATGCAACAACCCTGCGGGATGTGCACATGTGCCCCAGAGCTTAAAGTACAATTTAAAAAAAAAATCAAGTTTCATTGCTTTGGGGTGGTGATTGTGATTATTATTAATCAGTTCCATGATATTTCTATTTTTAAATTTATGCCTCATAGTTGTACATTTTCCCAGGATACATGTGCCGTTTTGGTACATGTATACAATGTAATGATCGAGTTAGGGTAACTGGAACATCTATCACTTCAAACATTTATCTTTTCTTATGTTAGGAATATTACAATTCTCATCTAGCTATCTTGAAATATACAATACATTGTTAACTATAATTACTGTACTATAGACTACTAGAATCGATTCCTTCTGATATTTCCTGAAAGGCATATAAAACTCAAAGAATGGTTTCATCTTCCCTTCCCACAGCTTGTTTTTCCTCCTTCATTTGTGCCTCTTCTCTTGAATAAATTATTTTAATGTCAAACTGTCAGTTAAACTAATTAGACTTTTCTGGATATTTGATAAAGGAAAGGTAAGGATAGGAATAACCTATGAAATGGAAACAATTTCTAACGTTATAAAGGGCTGAGGAAAGAATGGAGAGAATGTGGAGCCCAGAGACTCAGAGAGAGCCTGTGTGTACCTAAGCAACAATCCTGCAAGATCTGCACGTGTACTCCAGAACATAAAGTATAATAAGAAAAAAAAAATAAAGGAAATTTGTAGATAAGGCAAAAATGTTGGAAACAGGGCTCAAGGGGTGAGGGAAAGAGATTTTAAAATATGTTCAAATATATAGTAGGAAGAATGAAGTCAGACTGAAGAAAAAAATATTTTCAAATAAAAATATGAGAATATTAGACAACAAACAACATACAAGAAAAAAGAGAATACGAATCCGATTTCAGACAGTAGACTGAAGAGCTGGTGGAATTACTAACAGCAAAAGGGAACAGAGTAGAGAGTCTGAAAGATGAGTAGCTTTCTTTTTGTAATGCTGGGTTTAAGGTGGCGGCGAGGTTCTCACTAGTGGAAAGGGTCTAAGAGCTTTAAGAGGCAAACTTGGAAGCTCTGTGCAATCTAGAGCTGTTTGTCCAATACAGTTGCCTCTAACCACAGGCAACCACTGAGCAACTGAAATATGGGTACCCTGAACTGAGATGGGCTCTAAGCATCAAATACACATTAGATTTTGAAGATTTTCTATGGGAAAAAAAGAATTTAAAATCTCATTTTTTCTGCATTGATTAGATGATGAAATATATGCATGGACTGGGTTAAATAACATTATTAAAACTAATTTCACTTGTCTGTACTTTTTTAACGTGATTTGTAGAAAACTGAAAATTACATATGTGGCTTATGTTATATTTCTATTGGACAGCAATATTAGTTATATATTAAGATCACAAAAGGGATAGAGACATCATTCTGAGGTATCTCAACTAAACATAGATATGGAAGAAAAAAGGAAACACATCATCATAATAGTTAATATTTACTAAGCACCCCAAGCACTATGCTAGACACATAAAGGGCACCGTCTTATTTGTTCCTCCCAAAAACCTTATTAAACATCTTTTATAGAATAAAATACTGAGGCCCAAGGTCACACAGTTAAATGTCGGTGTTAGGATTCAAGGCCACGATGACCCCAGATCTCAAGTTCTAAACGGTGACAGAAATTTCAGAACAAGTATGCGCTCTAATATTTAAACTATTTATTAGAATGGTTCATTGTCAAAGTCAGTTATGTCCCAATTCAATTAAGAAGAAAAGCTACAAACGTGTGGATTTGTAACTTTAGAATTATGATGAGCTACTGATGCTGGCATATTTTCACCAGATCCGGCCATTAAAGACGTTTCTGGTGCAGCTTCTTTCCTTTTATCAATGTTTATTCCCAGAAATGCAAACCCATCAAGTTAGATGGTACATATCCAACTGTCCAACGGAGACGATCATCCACCTAATCCTAAACAGCAGGGCCTGTTTTCTGAACATAACTAGACAGATAATACAGATCTACTTGACGAATTTTCAACATTCTCTTTTGGAGCACAAAAGCACCTGGACCTGTCAAAGTGACTAAAACGTTTTGAAGGAAGCTAAACTAAATGGAACCTTTGTTGAAGAACCAAAAATTAAGCTTACCCAACTGATGCTTTAAAAATGGATTTTGTACTCCTTGAAAATGCTTACTTTCAAAGAACAGAAAGAAAAAAAGGCTGGATACTTTGAATCCTAGAAATCTTAACAGTAAAATCTCCTACAAATACAAATTGAAGTCAATAAAGTATCTTTCATTGACCTTTGGTTGGTTCATTGGTATTAATTTCAAAGACAAACTTTCTTTCCTTTTCACATTTAATTTCTGCTACCTATCTGGGAAAATGGTAACCACAGAACTGCTGAACTTGTATAGTCAGCTCTAATTACATCTTTTTCAAAAACTTACTCATGTAAACTTTATTAAACAATTTATTTACAATTAATACATTTTTCTAGTCTAAGTCTTTTAAAACTACTGCCATAAATCCACATTATAGAAATAGAAAAACAAAAGAAAATTTGAAAAAAAAAATAATTATTTTGAAATAAGACTAGCAGAGATATCTTACAAGACAGTTCATACTGGACATGTATTCAAAAGGGTGTCTCTCTGAACTGACCCACTAATTTATTTTAAATTAAACCCCCTAACCTTCCTCCTCCCTGGCCCACTTTTTTTTTTTTTTTAAATAAAGTAGTATGATTTCAGCTGGGCATAGAGGCTCATGACTTGTAATCCCAGCACTTGGGAAGCCAAGTATCCTGTATCCTAATGGCTGTGTTGGGGTCACGGATGTTGAGGGCTAAAAAACCATTGCTGAAGTGAGCGAGCATGCGGTTGGGACAGCTTGGAGGCTGTGGCTTGTGAATAACACAAGAGTTGTACGGGCACCCCGCATAGGTGATGTTCCACCAATGACAGTTTGTGCTGCCGGGTGGGGGTCCTCTGGTCCCAGAACCACAGGGAGAGTGCGGTCGGTATGCTCCCTAAGTACTTGGTGCAGGAGAGAGAGAAACGAAAGGTAGGAGGCCAGTGGTGGCGGTCACGCAGGGAGATTATGGGAAACCAGGAAAGGCCAGCCGTACAGCAATTCAAAGGGGCTCAGACCCATTGGCCCCCATGGGGTGGCCCGGATATGGGCCAGGGCAAGAGGTAGGAGTGTGAGCCAAGAGAGTTTTACCTCAATAGCAAGTTTGGCCAAATGGTCTTTGAGGATGCCATTGGTCTGTTCAACTTTACCCGATGACTGAGGATGGTAAGGGATGTGTAGTATCTAGATGTTGAGGGACTCAGCAATGAGCTGGACAACTTGTGCAGTAAATGCTGGACCATTGTTCAACTGGATGGTGGCAGGTAGGGATGATTTCTTGTGTAAGAAATATCCCTAGCAAATAATTGCCACTGTGAAGGCTAATACCATAGTCTTTGGTTACTTAAAATCTAAAGTCTTGTTATCTTTAGGCTTAAAAGTAATTTGTACTTGTAGTTTTTGGAGCAGATTCCTCCGCAAAAAAGGAACAGGGCAGCTGGGAAGATATAAGAACCTGTGCCACACCTCTTGCCTTCCAGTGACATATTTTGATTGGCAAAAGGGTTTGTTTTGTTCGTTTTTACCTGATACTCCTATGGCCGCAATAGTAGTAGTGTGAGACAGTGAGCCTCCAGTGCTCACGGGGGTAAACTGCATGATCTTTATAGACTGTTCTCCAGTCTGGACCAGGTTTAGACCCTGGTTTAGCTATATCTTTTTCTTGCTCTCTTCCACGTCCTCCTCCATCCTTTCATTATCCCCGCTTTTCTTTCAACTAAGGCAGGTGCTAGTAAATCTGCCTTTTCCTTTGCCTCACACCTTGCCCTTCTCTTAGCCCCGGTCCTGTGCAGGGAGGGCACAAAGCAGCAGAGTGTCTGCAACCCACGTGCCACCTTTCCAATGCTACTACAAAATTTGCAAGAAGCAAGAAATGGTCATTTATCAGAATGATACATTTATTTTTATATTTTTTTATATAAAGTGCTGCAGGCTCCAACGTTGCTCCTGGGCATCTCAGGTTTCGGGCCTTCGTCCTCTCCAATCTAAATGCAGAGACATTTGACATGAACATGTTTTGCAAAATGCAATACATTCTTATTGACTCTGGTCACCCTGCTGTGCACTAGAGTCAAAACCTCTTCCTCCTGTCTAGACTTTGGTCCTTTGACCAATACCCCCCCATTCCCTCCCTCTGCCACTCTCCGGCCCCGGAGATTTGCCAATTAAAACAATACTAATAAAGACAGAATAAATATAGTAAAATGCAAGAAGTGCGGCTTCACCGCCCACCTACTTACTTTTTCTCTTGGGTGGGCCCTCTTACTCTGCCTCTTGGGTGGACAGAGGCAGCAACAGCATCTCCTTATTATGGCAATGCACCTTCGGGCAGCCCTGCGGCAGCTCCAGCCTCTTCTTGGCCGGGCCAACACAGCCTCGGGCTGCCCAGCTTGGAGGACGCTGCCTTCGTGTGCTGGTTGTTGAGCCACGGTGCTCTGGGTGGTGATCTGGGTGGAGGCGGCCGTGAGGTTATGCGGGAGGGCTGGTTGAGCCAAAGTTTCTAAATTTTCACTGCCGGTGGAGCACTTGCTGGAGGCTGCAGACACGAGGTCACGCTGGGGGGCTTGCTCTGCCAAGGTTTCTAAAGCACCACCACCGCCTATGGCGCTTACAGTGGAGGAGGCCACACGGTCACACTGGAGGGCTTGCCGTGCCAAGTTTTCTACATCTCCACAATTGCGCTCGATGGTCAGGGAGGCCGTGGGGGCATGCTGGGGGTCTGACTTCCTGTGAAGGCCGGCAGGTGAACTGGAAATCTCAGTGACTAAACATGTAGGATCCCCAGGAGCAAGAGACTGTGGAGTGGTAATGGATGGCTTTTTTTCTCCATCTACAATACGGTAGGTGGCCATGGGATAATTAAAGACGTGGCCTTCAATTGCCTTTACGATGTTTTCTGGCTTCAATCCCATGGCCACCAAGAGCCTTATGGTCTCACAGTTCGGGTGGTCTTCAATCGGCTCTTCATACGTCGCTGGAGGCAAGTCCTGGCCGTTGTTCACCCACGGGTCCCTCAAGACTTTGTCTGCTGTCGGCCGCTCATTGGGATTAGATATTAAAAGGTTTTTAATTAGGCTTTTTAGGCCTTCTGAGAAATAGTGCCGAATAACATACTGGCCAGATAGAATGAGGGATATCAGTTGGAAACGACTCACTGCGAAGAAGGGCAGACTGTTGGACACCATCTGGTATAACGTGACGCCTAGGCTCCATATGTCCATGGCGGGACATTCATAGCCCTGGGCCCCAAAGAGTTCTGGGGCCATGTAGGGGAGGGTCCCATGACCTGCTCTCAGCCTCTGCCCCTCATAAAAAGTTATGGCTGATCCAAAATCTGCAATTTTTATGTTCCCGTTGCCATCTAACAACATGTTGTCAGGTTTAAGATCTCGGTGAGCGATGCTTCGGCGGTGGAGGTAGCTCACGGCGGACAGCATTTGTTGGAACTTGCCTCGGGCCTCCTCCTCCTCCACTATGTGGTGGTCAAGCCAGTTGGCCAGGCTTCCTCCTGCGGCATACTCCATAACGAAATGGCACGCCTCTCTGCTGTTAATCATTTGGTAAAGGTTAATGATGTTGCCGTGGCGGACCGACTGTAAAACAGTCATCTCTCTGTGGCTAGAGAGGAAGCTGGTTCTGTTGATTGTTTTCACCGCCACCCGGATGCCAGTCATTAAGTGGCGGGCCAGCGTGACCTCCCCAAAGGCACCACGGCCTATAAAGTTTAGTATTTGATAATAAGGTGGCCGCAGGGCAGGTGAGGTGGAGGCCAAGCCCTGCCTCATGGTGCCTACTTTGTCTACACTAACTATATACAAATAACTACTCTAACTCTATGGACTACGCTAAAATATTAACAATACTAACTATCCCAAAGAACACTAAAATGCTAAGAAACAGTACCAACTATATTAACTATACTAACTAAAAAACACAACAACGCCCCTCCCACAAAAACTCCCCCCACCCCGCCAAACAACTCGTAATCGCTAAGCTGGTCTGAGTCCACAGGTCACCAAAAAAGCTTCCAGGGATTTCTCAGACCAAAAACCATGACCCAGCCAGGGCCTTATATAGGCCTGTCTGTTATGACATCACAAAGGCTTTTCATGAGCTCAGAGCAAAGCAGGGCCAATCATGGCTGGGGATCTTTCACAGAGGTTTTCTCTCTTTTGGTCCCCAAAACATCTTCCTCTTTTAAAAAGTAAGTGCTTTTGTCTAGATGGATTATAGAGATTGATATTTTGTTTCCCAGCTATTTAAACTGGTACAACGCTTCAACAGCATTTTCATTTGTAGTTTCTTTTTCTATATTTATTGTACTCTTAAGTTCTGGGGTACACGTGTAGATTGTGCAGGTTTGTTACATAGGTTTAACGTGCCATGGTGGTTTTCAATCATTTGTTATTTCAAAATCTGAAATAGCTTTTGGATTTTGAAGATCTCCTAATGTCTACATGCAACATATTTAATTCCTTTTCTTTCATCTCTCAATGGTTGAACCATTGAGAAGGGAGAGAATATTTTCCTTTCCTTGTAGGGTTTTTCCTTCCTCATGTGGTTGAGATTATGTAATGGACAGAGAATAAACAGACATACCCTACCCTCCATGAGCCCATAGCCTCTTCAAGAAGGCCCCCCCAGACATGAAGCTCCTTCAGCGTGAGAAGCACCAGGTGAAGTGGGGGCCAAAGAGTGGCCTGGGCCTCAGGTCAGCACTGGTGAGGGAAGAAGTGGGGCTTTCTGGAGGCCAGTGGGCTGAGCCCTGCGGTGTGAGGAGGGGTCGCCTAAGTGAGTAGAGACAAGGGCAGGAGGGTAGCCTCTGCAAAGGCCCAGGATGACTGAGGGTTGCTCTCTGGAGGGATGCGCTAGTCTGAACGAGTGACAGGGGCCAGGTTGGGAGCACTCAAGTCCCAGGACAGAGGCTGAGCCTGTATTCCAGCACTGGGGTTGTGGAATAGTTCTGAGCCCCTCGCAGGGCCACAGCCCTCACAGCCTGACTCTGCCCCAGGTGGAGGTGCTGCTATAAATAGTAGGGGCCCCGTAGGTGCACTGGAGGGTGGAAGGGAAGGGCTCCCCAGGAATAACCCTGCATGGATGACAGCCACCCCACAGAGGGCATGGCCACCAGGAAATGTAGGTCCTTCTACATTTAGGTGGAGGCAGCAGGCATAGGCTGGAAGGAGAAAGTGGGGCTGGATTCCCAGGGTTCCTAAATGCCAGGATGAGGTGCTTTTATTGCCTCCTGGGGAGCAAGATTTGGAAGAGACTGAGGCCCATGAGGGCAGCACTCAGGAGGTTGGTCTGGAGGGAGATGGCCCCTGAAGGGGCACACCTGTGCCTGTCCCTGTTGGCTCAGCCCTCACTGGCACTAGGAATCCCTTGGTCAGCAATGGGGGGGTGTCATAGCCTTCTGCCTGGAGCCTGAACACCCTGACATGTTCTCCCCAGGATTCTGCACTTATTTTCCTTTTTTTTTTTTTCCCCCAAGACAGAGTCTCACTCTGTCACCCAGGCCAGAGTACAATGGCATGATCTCAGCTCACTGCAACCTCCGCTGCCTTGGTTCAAGTGATTCTCCTGCCTCAGCTTCCTGAGAATCTGGGATTACAGGCATGCACCACCACACCCAGCTAATTTTTTGTATTTTTAGTGGAGATGTGTTTTGCCATGTTGGCCAGGCTGGTCATGAACCCCTGGGCTCAAGTGATCCTCCCACCTTGGCTTCCCAAAGTGCTGGGATTCCAGGTGAGAGCCACCACACTTGGCCTGCTCCTGCTCTTCCATATGTGCATTGGAGTTGCCTCTCCCTGAGGGCAGCTGCTGCACCCTGAACGCCTGGCACAACTGTGGACCCGAGGAGGTGCTCAAACACGCGACTCCCTGGGGACCTCGGATCTGGGTGGCTCCCTTGTGTGACACGAGGCAGGAAGCAGAGCTCTGTGGGTCATGTGCCGCCCTAGGGCATGAAGGCTGTCCTTGTTCTCTTGCGAGCCAGGCTTGGCCACTCTTCCAGGGGACCCACCCACACTGCCTAGCCTGGCCGAGAGTGGCCTTCCTGTCCCTGCCTGGAGTGGTGTCTGCCACATGCTCTGAAGCTGGCCCTTTGCTGTGAGGTCTTGAAGGGCAGGGTGTGTGTGAGAGTCACCCACCACTGGGGCCTGGTAGGGTGGGGAGGCACCTAAGTGGGACTGCTGCCAATGCATCCTGGGTCTGGAGTGCAGGAGTCGGTAACTGACTCCACCTTGGGGGCCTGATGGGAGGCCTCAAATAGGCCTTGGCCATTCCACGGGGCTCAGGAGCACCAGGGGCTTATCAGGCTTGTGGCTGGGAGCAAGGCCAGGCCCTGGGGCTTCTGGGCCTGTTCTTTTTGAAGGGCGGCCTGGAGGATGACCTGGTATTGGTCCGTGGGTGTCCTGTGGCCTCCTGCATCTCATGGCCTTGCCCTTGCCCTTCAGCATGACCCTCCAGTGCCTTCATCGGTCTCCACAGAGCTCATCCTGGTAGAGGATGTGAGGGTGAGCCTGGAAGAGGTGACCATCTAGGACCGTCTTGGCTTCCAGATACAGCCCATGCCCTGCCAGCTGCCTGGGTAAGACCCACCAGGGGACCCCCTCACTCTCCAAGACACAGCCCAACTCTCCCTGAATCTGCCTCCTGCCAGTGGAGCTCCACTTCAGGAAAGACTCAGGTGACTTCGTCCTCAATACCAGTGCTGTGGACGACATCAAGATGGCCTACCAGGAAACCAGGGCCATCACCATGGTAAGTTTGGGTCATTGGTCCCCAGGGTGATTTTCATTCTTCCTCTGGGCCATTGTGATGTTCATAGATTGGTGTTTTAAAAGCTGTCACTTAATGTCATCAGGTATAACTAGCAAAGCTGTTAGAGTCTCTCATTTATTCTGCAACTTTAGTCATTTTCATGCTACCTTTGTAATTTTTTTTATTTTTGAGACAGGGTCTCACTCTGTTGCCTGGGCTGGAGTGCAGTGGCAGGATCATAGCTTACTGCAGCCTTGACCTCCTGGGTTTAAGTAATCCTCCCAACTCAGCCTCCAGAGTAGCTGTGACTACCACCACCTGGCTGCGCACACCACTACACCTGGCTAATTTTTGTATTTTTTTGTAGAGATGGGGTCTCACAATGTTGCCCAGCTGGTCTCGAACTCCTGGGCTCAAGGGATCCACCCGCCCTGGCCTCGCAAAGTGCTGGCATTACCGGTGTGACCCTCCGCACCCAGGTTACCTTTATGATTTTCATTCCATGTCCACAAACTACCCACACTGTTACCTAATGGTTTCCTTTCTGTCAATCTTTCCATTAAAATAAAAATATTATTACATAAGCAGCACTCTAACAACAATCAAGAAAATTGCTTGTAAAGAGGTTGCACCTTTCTCTGTTTCCCCAGGTTGATTTCTTGACCCTCTCCCTATTCTTGCAAGTGTTGACTTATCTGTGCTCGTGGCATGGAAGAATTTAGTGTTCTGCTTTCCAATATCTTATTCTAGTCTCACTTTTTCTATTTCCCCATGTTGACAGGGAGGCTGGCTGATTATTTTTATGTCTTCATTTGTACTTTCGCCGTTCTTTTCTAATCAGAGTGTTTGAATGGTCAAAATGTTTTTGTTCTTTCAAAAATATAGGGAAGAATAGAATGAAAAGATTAAGAACAAACAAACACTCAGACACGTCTGCATATCTGCATGATGGGTTATGATGCAATCACAAACACAGAACTTACTTTAGAAGGGAGCTCTTACTACGGAAAGTGTAACAGACCCTCTCTAAGTCATCAATCCAAGGCAGCCCAAAGCTCATTGGTTTGATACAACAGTGGCAGTGACACCCACCCCAGCATGTCATTAAACCATTGTTGTGCGGTAGCCTTTGAGATGCTGTAAGCCCAAGACCTGCTTTCCTCTGTTAAAAGGGGTGGTTCCTGGTGATTGAGGAGTGTTGCAGTCAGGCCAGCTTCGGAGACTTTCCCCGGACCCAGCGAGGCCTGGGTTGATCCGGTGCTTGGTGTGTGGTGGGGACTCAGATGGTGCAGCACTGTGGATGGGCTAGAGGTGCCCTGACTGTGGGTCTCCTGCCATCCTGATACTCGGGTTTGCTCTTGGCTTTGCCTGGTTCATGGAGGTAGCCCTCGAAAGCTCACAGCAGCAGGAAATGACTTCCTGGCTCCAGGAAAGGCCAAAGTCAGAGTTCACCTTTGCAGTGACCATGTCCCACAGTCTCCATCCAGAAACACACCCAGGGCACCTTTCATTGGCTTTTTGCACCTACTGACTATCTTCACATAGACTGTCACTAAATTAACTTCCTCTAGGGCAGGATAGGTGTAAAGTCAGTGAGGGGAGGCAGCGGGGTGTGAGGAACACAGCTGGAAGTGCTGTGCTAAACGGACCTGGCCCCAAGGTGCAGTGTCAGGGAGTAACGGGGAGGTGGAGACTGTGGCAAGCAAACACACTGGCCAAGTCTAAGGGCAGCCACCATGCACCTCTAGCTGATTTCTGTTGTTTTTAATCACATCTGTGTCAAGGTCATTCACATACCATGCAATTCACACACCTAAAGCATACAGTTCAGGATTTTTTAGTACATTTTAGAACATTCACAGAGTTGGGAACCGTCACCAAACACATCCTCTCCTCTGCTCCCCTCCCCTCTTCTTCCCTCCCTTCCCCCTCCCTTCCCTTCCCTTTTCTTTCTTCTCTTTCCAGGGTGTCACTCTGTAACCCAGGCTGGAGTGCAGTGCTGCCATCTCAGCTCACTGCAACCTCTGCCTCCCAGGCTGAAGTCATCCTCCCACCTTGGCCTCTTGAGTAGCTGGGATTACAGATGGGTGCCACCACAGCCAGCTAATTTCTGTATTTTACCTAGCTATGGTGGCAACATGACGGGGTTTTGCCATGTTGCCAGGATAGTCTAAACCTCCTGAGCTCAGCAATCCACCAGCCTCGACCTCCCAAAGTTCTGGGATTACAGGTCTGAGCCACTACTGTGCCCGGCTGGATCAGGCACTTTCTAGACCTTACTAAAATCTGTGTCTTGGATTTTGCTTTCCTCTACTGCTAGGTGAGGTCCATACAGCTACCCATGATTGACTCTGAAAGTTGTTGATACATGGCAGTGCATTGAGAAAGTTCACACCTCACAGTGAATTTATGAAGTGTGAGCATAAATTAAATAACTGGTTTCACTGGCCCTCCATTTATCTTTCTTTCTAAAATTCTTAATAAAGTATGGTTATTCTGTATGCCAATGCATACAGATTTTAACATTTGGATATATGTTGCTTTGAAAACTAGGATATGTTTTCTAAGACTCTTTCATTGAATTTAACTCCTAACATTCAGCGTAAATATGAGTTATGAATCCCAGTATGTACCTGAGCCTTGCTCTCCCTCCCTGAGCCCCGCACGCTGCCCTGGGCCCTTTCTTGGCAAGTGGACAGATAAATGGGAGCCGCTGGGGGTGGGAGTGCTGGACTGGGAATCAGATTTGAAGTATAGTCTAAATGCCCCACGGGCCCACCGCTTCTCAATAGCTCAAAGCTGCCCCAGCTGGTTTCCACAACAACCTCAAATCAGATAATGATCCTTAGTTGGCCAGAACCTATTAGTAAAGGTCAAAGGGGGTGGGGGGTGAGGCCAAAAGTAATGGTGATGTCATAGTCACAGGCTGAAGAGTAAGCCAGAATTTTCCACTTCAGGTGATGGTATTGGTGGTGCCACTTCCAGAGGGGGCACAGCTGCTTGGCAGAGGGACGGACTCACAGGGGCTCTTAGGGAGCTCAAGTGGGGCCCACAGATACCTTCTCCCTGGGGTTGCAAACTGGCATTGGGTGGAGGGAGAGTCAGTATTCACACCTGGGGGAGCCTCGCCCCCAAAGTGGATTTTAAGGCCAGCAGCACACTGGGGAGACAAGGGCCCCACAACACTACCATCCTTTCCCCAGCCTGCTTCGTGCTTCCTGGTCCTGCTCTTTATTGGGGATGGAGAATCTTATCTGAATGGTGGAACTCCAGTACCATCCCTGGCCAGCATCAGTAGTGGGCAGGGTCACTGCATGTTCAAGGCTGTGCACACTGAGCCCCAGCCATGCACGAGGGCGGTGCCTCCTGGACCTTCCTCAGGCTCCCTAGGGACCCATGAGGAAGCTCCCTGATGGGTGCTGATGGTTGTCTGTACCAACAGATTCACTGCCTGGCACAGAAACACCGGGTTCCTGGGAAGCTGGAACCTGCCTTATGAAAGTCCCCATTCCCATCACCCCCTCCATCCCTTGGGGCTGCTGGGTCTTGCCATCAACCCTCTCCTCACACCCAGGACACCTGCCTATTTCAAAGCACCCCTTCAACCTGGGCCTGGCTGAAGGCTCATTCCTCTGTCATGCCTCTGAGGGGTACTGCTTTGTGCTGCTGTTATCAAAAAGGGGAAACCATTCACAGCAGAAAGACCAATGCCACACTAGACAGCCAGGAACCCAGCAGCACAAGTGGCCCCCCCAGGTGCTTTGGGGACCACACCCCCACCACTGTGACTTCAGCACAGTCTGGTACCCAGGACTTCAGGATCCTCCTGGGAACCCTTCAGCATGATTAACATGGGCAGATGGGACCTGAAGGGGCTGTTGGTCCTCCTGAAAATGCTCACCAGGCAGTGTGAGTGTGGGGAGGCCATGTGCAATGTGTGGGACCCTGTCCTGCACCCGCTCAGAGCCTCAGCCCTGCAGAGACACTGGAAATGATTTGCTGCAGGTGAGGTCACCCCTGATGCTTCTCTGAGGTCTCTTTTCCTTTCAGATTTTCTGAGTAACTTTGAGGACCACGTGACTGCATGCCGAATAAACTAGGGCCCCCCGACCTGGTCGACATAAGGGAATCCCATCTTGGCCAGGCATGGTGGCTCTCGCCTGTAATCCCAGCACTTTGCGAGGTCAAAAATGGTGGATCCCTTGAGGTCAGGAGTTTGAGACTAGTTTGGCTAACACGGGGAAACCCCATCTCTACTAAGATACAAAACTTAGCTGGGCATGGTGGCATGCACCTGTAATCCCAGCTATTTGGGAGGCTGAAGCAGGAGAATCACTTGAACCCAGGAGGGGGGAGGTTGTAGTGAGCTGAGACTGTGCCACTGCACTCTAGCCTGGGTGACACAGCAAGACTCAGGCTAAAAAAAAAAAAAAAAAAAATAGATCTCATCTCAAAAAAAAACCCAACTTTACATAATGTTGTAAAAATCATTTGCTACACCTCAGCTATTTCTGACCATGTTTTAACTACAGGCTAGAAAATCATAGACTTCAAAATGATTCATTCTGAGTTGCTAGTCTAGTCTCTTATTTACATTACTCTCATTCTAGCGAAAGAGGATGTGATTTCCAGAGTCAACGTGCCTTCATTTGGGCTTGCTCTTTACTCTTTATCTTATTATTTTTCATTTCTAAACTCACACAGGTGCAGAGCTTTCTTTACACAAAGCAGAGCACATGGCCAAGGAAAGGATGTGATTTCCAGAGTCTGTTTCTACAACTGCCCTAAAAGTACAAATACTTTAAGAAATGTAGTAGATTGATTTAAAGTCACAATACATTATAAGTGAGAATTTTTCTCAAGATAAAACAGAAAGATGCTAGGCATATCAAAAGGGATGCTTCAGAAGAGAACCACACTAAAAGGAGATTAAACTCCCCAAAACAAAGCTTACCTACTTCACAATTGTGATGAGGGCTGGCAGACTAGCACTGGAGAGGCAGTAGAGACACAGAAAACTCACCCAGGCTGAGTGAGATAGGAGACCCAGGATCCAAATGGGAGTTCCAGGCCATAGCATTGTCATCTATTAACTGGTCTTCTCTAACTCCTCTGAGACACACTTTCTTCACCTACAAAATCTAAGATATGTGACAGAGGGAGAGAAAGAGAATCAGTTTGATGTCTATTTTTTGGTTTCAGATTCTTAGATTATGCTAATGATCACTTTATATAGCACCACCTCCATGTAAGTACCAAACACAATTAGTCTGTTATTGGACACACGCTCAATATGGGCTTGAGTACAGCTAAAGAAACATAAGCAGATTCAAGCTTTTGGGTAATCCATACAAGGGAACGATGACATTAAATACTATAAAATCATGTAAGTGATGGCATGTTAACTTTTTCACTGATCAATAAGTGGGAATTCATGTTATATCCAGTGAAGACCCTTTCACAGTTATGTTTGGTTAAGGTACCTTTCCAGTCCTGTGTTTATACAGGTAGAACCTCTTCTTTTTTTCTTTCTTTTCTTTCTTGAGATGGAATCTCACCCTGTCTCCTAGGCTGGAGTGCAATGGTGCATTCTCAGCTCACTGCAACCTCCACCTCCCAAGTTCAAACGATTCTCCTGCCTCAGTCTCCTGATAGCTGGGATTACAGGTGCTTGCCACCATGCCCAGCTAGGCTAATTTTTGTATTTTCAGTAGAGATGGTGTTTCACCATGAGGCTGGTCTCGAACTCCTCACCTCGTCATCCGCCCACATTGGCCTCCCAAAATGTTGTGATTACAGGCATGAGCCACTAAGCCCGGACACCACTTCCTTTTTCTATCTAATAAAATATTGGTGGGGAAAAGACCCTCTGGCATTTGCTGTCTCATTTGTTCCTTTGTTGTAGTGATAGGGAAAGCCATAAAATAATATTTCAAGAAAAAGATAAGATATAGATGACTTTTTAGATCTCCTTCTGGCCTCATGGATTTACATGTGTTTTTACAGAATAGAGGTAAAATAATGATTATTAGGCTAAATGGTAATGTGGAAGTACAGGGATAATTCAAAGTTTAAGAATTCCTTCCCAGCCGGGCATGGAGGCTCATGTCTGTAATCCCAGCACTTTGAGAGGCCAAGGTGGGTGGATCACGAGGTCAATAGATTGAGACCATCCTGGCCAACATGGTGAAACCCTGTCCCTACTAAAAATACAAAAATTAGCTGGGTGTGGTGGCACACACCTGTAGTCCTAGCTACTCAAGAGGCTGAGGCAGGAAAATTGCTTGAACCTGGGAGGTGGAGGTTGCAGTGAGCCGAGATCAGGCCACTGCACTCCAGCCTGGTGACAGAGTGGGACTCCATCTCAAAAAAAAAAAAGAATTCCTTCCCCATGTTTAACTGGTGTGCTTTGCAAGGTCTAGATGACATCAATGATACAATTCTTGCAAGCAACAGCAGCAGGGTTCTTGAAGGTCCGTTGTCACCTAAAAATTGTTTTCTTCCTTTTATGTTGTTAAAGAGACTAAAGATTTCCCTGAATGGATAATGGAATTAAGTTTCTCAAAATAATGGTTCATGGACTGCCTGTCTGTACCAGCATCATTTGAGGTGCTTGTTCAAAATCCATATTCCTGGGGAATGGAGGTTTCACCACTTCGAGACCCACAGAGACTCCATTATGCTTTATGCAGGGTCACAGATGCCTCTAGAATGAAGTAGATACTCCTTTTGAATTCCTGTGATGTGAAACTGATAGCAAATATTAATCTAAAACCAAAACTGAAAAAAAAATTCATATTCTTGGTCTGTACCTGAGATCATCTTGATGGATCTCAGGTATGCTTGTATTGTATTAAACCCTCTGGTGCTATTTATACACAATAATGTCTAAAAATCACTGTCTAAATTAAGAATTCACATTCTACTGCATTGGATTAGTGATACAATGAAATTCAGGTCCAGAGTTTTTATCATTCAATATCCAAAACACTTGGAAGTGACTTTTATATAGCTTTCAAAGTATAACACATGTAAAATAGACAATAAAAACAAGCTTTAAAAAATAATAAAACCAAAGGTTGGGTACGGTGACTCATGCCTGCAATCCCAGCACTTTGGGAGGCTGAGACAGGCAGATCACAAGGTCAGAAGTTTGAGACCGACCAGGCTGACGAACCCTATCTCTACTAAAAATACAAAAATTAGCCAGGCCTGGTAATGGGCGCCTACAATCCCAGGTACTCAGGAGGCTGAGGCAGGAGAATCTCTTGAACCCAGGAGGCGGAGGTTGCAGTGAGCCAAGATCTAGCCACTGCACTCCAGCTTCTGTGACAGAGTGGAACCCCCCCAGAAAAAGAGAAGAGCAAGAAGAAGAAGAAAATCATTCCATAATACTGTTATCCAAGGAAAAACAATAGTTGAGGACTATTTGTGTGAATTTCCTTCAAGTCTCTAAATATCATAACATAGATCATCATAGGTTCTGAAAACTCTTAACAGGGACTGTGTTTCTTCATCACTGTAACCCTAGCTCTTCCCAAAATGCCTAGCACATAGTAGGTATTGAAAGCTTTGCTGAGTGAACAAAGTAAGTGAAGCTGAAATCAAATTGTATCTTTGATTTGGGTCACACTTTTTATAAAAATATACCAGCATTAAATAGAATATCACTTTCTGATTCTCAAAATTGATAACAAATCAATAACTAGTACTTCGGTATCAGATATTTTTCTAGCATTTTAGCGATATTAATTTAACCCTAACAGCCACATGTCATGTAAGCGCTATTTTATTCTGAATTTTTAGATCAGGACACTGGAGCACAGAGAGTTTAGGTAATCAACCCAATACCACACACCCAGTATGTGGCAGAGCTGTCTCCCGAGGCTTTATCAGACCAGGTTAATCTACCTGTTCATGGTCATAAAGTCATCTACCTTTTATAAACAAACGTGCATAACGCTGACCACTTCAGCTATGGGAACTTCTATATAACATTTAAAAACTCTCCATTAGGAAACTATATATTAGGTGATTGTATCACAGTTAAGATTGAGCCCTGGTACCTATGTCACTCTGCTACCGCACAAAACTCTGCAAGGGCGCCCACACCACCCAAGGTGTGGGATGCAAAGTGCATGGGGCAGGTACCTCCGTGCACATCCACACATGCTGTTCTCAACCCCAATAATCACCTCTTTTTTTCTTTTTTTTTAGACAGGGTCTTATTCTGTCGCCCAGGCTGGAGTGCAGTAGCACGATCTCAGCTCACAGCAGCCTCGACCTCCCGGGCTCAGGCGCTCCTCCCACCTCAGCCTCCCGAGTGGCTGGGATCACAGGCACGCGCACCACCACATACGGCTAATATTTTGTATTTTTGATTTAAGAGATAGGGTTTTGCCATGTTGCCCAGGCTGCTCCCGAACTCCTGACCTCAAGTGATCAGCCCGCCTCAGTCTCCCGAAATGCTGTGGATACAGAAGGGAGCCACCAACTTCCCAAGTTTAAGGGTGAAATGGAGGAAAGTTCATGTAATACTCAGGGAAGTCCAATTCTTCCCACGTCTTTCACTTGGGCCCCACACAAAAATAAAGTAACTAGAAGTGTACCGTTCTGTTCACAGTGCGCTCACCGTCGGTGGCGTCAGCTGGAAGCCCCGGGTCGGACCGGGAGGGGGACGGTGCCTCCTGCCATGGGCCGGTATCCAAACTGATCCGCTCCCCACCGCACCCCCAGAGAAACCCACTCCATCCCCTAAACCTAAGAAAACCAGACCCCGCAAAACTGCACGAACAGAGCCATTTCCTCCTAACGTGTGCTTCAAACCCACGAAACCCAACTGGAAGCAGGACCAGCGTGCCTGCCCTGCACGCTACTCCTCCCGCGGCAGCAGCCGCCCATCCGGGCAGGTGGTGGGTCCTCGTGGGGTTCCGCGAACGTTGAGCCGCCACGCGCAACCGACGCCGGCTGGGCCTGCAAATCACCTCCCGGCCGCCAGGGAGCGCCGCAGCCGCGAGAGCGAGGCGGATCGCCTAGGAGGGGGCGCGCGGCGCCGCAGGGAAAGAGGGCGCCGCCTCGCTAGCCCTGAGCCCCTCCCGCCGCGCGCCCTCCAGGCGGGGCGGCCCGCGAGGCCTCTGTGGGCGAGGGGGCGGGGACGAAACGGCCCCGAGGATCCGTGCGCTGCACGGCGGCGGCGCGAGCCCGAGGGGGCGGGGAGGCGCGGGCGCCGAGACAGCGCCGGGCAGAGGGACCTGGCTACCCTGGACAGTGCATCGCCGCCCGCCTGGGTTGCCGCGCCACAGCCGCTGCGGATCATGGTGAGTGGGACTGCGCGTCGCCACCGCCACCGCCACCGCCACCGCCGCGCTTTCTTTCTCTCCTGGACCCACGCACCTGGCGGGAAAGGGCCGAGCGGGTGGCTGCGCGGACTTTGCGGGTTCGCCGCTGGAACCGGCTACCTTCGGAGGGGCAGGGTCCGCGCGGGTCTAGGGAGCGGGAGCTGAACGTTTGGGCCGGGGGCGCGCGGGTCGGCCCGAGGCCCACTGGTCTCCGGAACTTTGTTCCTGTTCCTGCTCCCCGGTCCCGCTCCAGTACCTCGAGGTACCCGCTCGCGCTCAGCCCCCTGTTGCATGCACTGGGCTGGCGACCGGGATGCCCGCGAGCCATTCCCGCCCGCAGCCCACCCTCCGGCCCCCGGAACCTGCTCTCGCCACCGCCCGCCGGCGCCTGGAGCGAAAAACGGCGTTTCTCGCGCGCTGCACCCACCCTGCCTCTGGAGTCCTGGGGTTCGGGCCCTAACGGTTAAGCTCCGGCCCCTCTCCTCCCTGCACCCCGGGGATGTGTCTGTGCGCTCGATGGTGCGTCCTGGGTTTACAGATTGGCTTGGGAGGAGGCTGGGTTTTATCAGTGTCTGGGGTTGGAGGGGCTTCTGGTGTGTTCTTTAGGACAACTCCTCTCTCTGCCGGGTTTCCCAGGCCAGTCCTCCACTCTGGATTAGTACCGCTTCCTCTCGGCATTAAGTGGGGGGGGTGGGGTGGGGTGGGGTGTGTGTGTGTGTGTGTGTGTGTGTGTGTGTTCCCTCGGTCCGATGAACTGCCTGAGAGTTTTAGCAGCAGAGCCTGGTTCTTTGGCTACGAAGGGAGAACATCTGTTGTGCTATCCTCAACTCAAAGGACAGGTCTTGGCAAAATGTGAAATCTGCGTTTGTCTTCAGGGGTCTATATTCAATCTTTGTCCCCCTTCCTGTAGGGTTTCCTCTCCACTTCAGGGCTTATTAAAATATGCTAACCACCTTTCTCTTACTCCATCTGATTTTGCCCTGGCTACCCCTTTAGGCACATACTCTCTGCCTGATTATGTGTGACCACTTAATCTTAAAATTCTAACCTTTCCTACCCAGCCCACCACAGTGTGTATTCCCCTTGCCTGCTTCATTTTCTCTTCTCTTGAGCATGTATTGTTTAGTGTACTGCATATTTTGTTTCTTTAGCTTGTTTCTTGAAAGTCTCCTCTACCAGAATGTAAGTTTCAGGAAGACAGATTTTTATCATTTGTTCTTTACTGTCCTTCTAGTGCCTACAGCCGCACAGTAAGTCCTTGATAACTCTTTTGAATTAACCCAATAAAGCAAGCTGCTTTATGCTAATGCACAAGTGGAGAGCAACTGCAAACATTTTGCAGCTGACAGTTGTAATGATGAGAGTCTCAAGTGAAGTTTGGGAGGAGGGAGATACTCCCGAGAGAAGGGACCCGATTTTGGCAGCCTTCAAAGACAAAAGTCTAGGCGGCTATCTCTTATGGCTGGTCTGTCGCTTCATACTCTTGGCACCTTGGCATCAGAGTGCACAAGGCATTTTTAGGGCCAATTGGCTCTCTCCTTTGGGCTTTGAGGCTTTGTCCCAATGTGTAGGTAGGAATTGTATCGAGTAAGGGAATAAGTTCACTTGTTAGCTGAATAGAAAAGTCATGGGAATGTTTAACCTAAAAGAGCTAAAATCAAGGGCAAGCTCTTGAAAGCTTTATACTGCACAAGTGTGATGCGTCCTGTTTCGGTAAGTATTTCTCAGAAACTTTGGGTCTTCAGAGGAATTTTTTTTTTAATACCCAAATCCAAATTGTATTACTTTTTTTTTTCTTCTTTTTTTTGTGGCAGGGTCTCACTCTGTCTCCCAGGCTAGAGTGCAGTGGTGCAATCTAGGCTCACTGCACCCTCCACCTCCTGGGCTCAAGTGATTCTCGTGCCTCAGCCTCCTGACTAGCTGGGATAACAGGTGTGCACCACCACACCAGGCCAACTTGTGTATTTTTGGTAGAGACAGGGTTTCACATGTTGTCCAGGCTGGTCGAACTCCTGACCTCAAGTGATCGACACCCCCCTTGGCTTCCCAAGTGCTGGGATTACAAGTCATGAGCCACTGTGCCCAGCTGAAATCATATTACTTTATTTAAAAAAAAGTGGGCCAGGGAGGAGGAAGGTTAGGGGGTTTGATTTATAAATAAATTAGTGGGTCAGTTCAGAGAGACACCCTTTTGAATACATGTCCAGTATGAACTGTCTTGTAAGATATCTCTGCTAGTTAGTCTTATTCCAAAATAATTATTTTGAATATTTGGAAGAAGCAGTCGAGTGTCATACTGTCAGGCAAATCCGCTCTCACTATTTCTTCAGGCTTGTTTCCATGCAGATGCCCACAAACTTACTTCTAGTAATTATTTGTTTTCTTTCACTCAGTTTATTTTTTAGTGGTTTATTTCTCTTGTATGGATTAACTAGTCAATTTAATTAGGGAATTGGTGTTTTCTAAAGAAATCTTTCTATTTTTTGGACCATATAAGCTAAAATCCTCTTGACAAGCCTCAGCTCACTTCCCACATGGGCAGTAGACAAAATTAGTGGGAATCCTGGAAAGTCGGGGATTGGCATCGTTCTGAAGCAGGAGCAGACATGTTGGTCACAAAGATATAAAACATATATCTTTGATTTCCTTCTGTCATTGATGACACCATACCTGGCACTCAATACCTGTTTGTAGAGGTGAACTCATCTAAACTCCTCCCTGATCACTCAATAATATGTGAACCCAACAACCTCTCATGTCATGGGCTGAATTCCCTTGTTTTATGTCATTTTTCCAGGTGGGGTGCTGTTCACATGGGGCCCTTTCTCCTTTTCCACCTCATTTTCCAGGTGTGAAACACTGGATGTTGATCACTCAGGGTCCTTTCTTTTTCTTTTTTTTTTTTTAAGATGGAGTTTCACTCTTGTTACCCAGGCTGGAGTGCAATGGCGCGATCTCGGCTTACCGCAACCTCCACCTCCTGGATTCAAGCAATTCTCCTGCCTCAGCCTCCTGAGTAGCTGGGACTACAGGCATGTGTCACCATGCTCAGGTAATATTTGCATTTTTAGTAGAGATGGGGTTTCACCATGTTGACCAGGATGGTCTTGATCTCTTGACCTCATGATCCACCTGCCTTGGCCTCCCAAAGTGCTGGGATTATAGGCATGAGCCACCGTGCCTGGCCAGTGTCCTTTCTTACAGAAAGAGATGGCCAAGGGCAGACCTGTGGTCCACAGATCAAATCCAAACTGCGGTGCAGTAAAATAAAAGCAGAGCTCAAGCCATAACAGGAGGCCTATAATAAAGACCACCTGAGAGCGCCCTATGACTGCAGAACACTGCTGTGTGTGTGGTTGCAGAGAAGGAAAAACTGCTTTGGTCCCACATCTCTTCCCAACATAGAGTTTGCATGAGGGTCTCATAAAGAGGGCTTATGCAGAAGACTCTGGGAAGAAATACAACCTTTACTCACTAGACTCAGGAGGGTCTTTGCAGATGGATGCTTGTGAAGCCTGAAGGTCTTGCAGGGTAGAGATCACCGGAACACCACAGGCTCTGCCTATGTTCTCAAAATAAGGAGCAATTCTAATTGCTCTGTGTCCACAACACTCTGGAGATAAAAGCCCCTTGATGCATATGTGTTTGGGCAGACCCTACGGCACCTTATTGACTGCACCTCTTTTGCCAAAGCACCTGGATAGATAATGGGTGGTAAAGTCTCAGGGTCCTTAGTTAGCATTTCTTAGGAGAACCACATTTGCTATTGAATGCTGCAGACAAGTGCTCTTCCTCAGGCTATCTTCCTTCTCAGCCCCCCTCCCCAAAGCCTGCAAGATTAACAAGATCATGCACCCAATAAAAGCACAGGAAGCTCAGAGCTCAATGTCAATGTGGATCACCTGTGTGGATCACCCCACTGGAGAGTGTGTTGGACCCCTGGACTCATGCTGTAAAATTCTACTCTTGTGTCTTTGTCTTTATTTCTTTTCTCACTCAGAGTGATTCTTCTGGAATGCAGATCTGATCAAGGTTCTTCCTGACTTCATTGCTGCCAAAGCTGCACATTGTCCTTGGGATAAAAGCCAAGGTTCTCCCGAAGCCCACGAGCTTCAGCCATTGAACCTGCTCACTGCTCCAACCTTGCTTTCTGCCCCTGTGCTCCTTTCTCTAATCTTCACCATGAACTGCTAACAGTTCCCCAGACTCCCTGTGTGCTCTTTCTTCTGAGCCTGTGTTTGTGATACTGATTCCCTAGAAGATCTTTCCTGCCATTCACCTGGATTAACTGGGTTCCTCATCCAGGCCTCTGTTTAGACATTGCATCCTCCTGGAAGCAGTTTTCCCACACTAATTACAGTAGCCTGCATTTAGCAGTTCTTTCAATCCTGTTGTGGAATCTTTGGTGTTTCACTCACTGAGGCCTAGGAGAGCCTGATGCATAGTCACTGCCTAATACAGGTTTGCTAAATAAATGTGGGGTCGACCATGAGAAACCACCTTACTCCTGCAAGAATGGGCATAATTAAAAAGTCAAAAAATAGTAGACGTTGGCATAGATATGGTGAAAAGAGAGCACTCTTACACTGCTAGTGGTGAGAATATAAATTAGTACAGGCACTTTGGCAAAAAGTACGGATGTTCTGGAAAATCTTACCCAACAAGAAACCCAAGTGGCACTCAGGGGATCAGAGGAACACACTTTATTACACCAGCAGGCCCAGAAGGGTTCACACCCAGAAGTCTGGACCCCAGCTAAGAAAAGCACACAGTTTTTATAGGTAAAGGGGCAGCGGAAGTAACTCGGGACTTTAGACAACGCAGCAGGTTTTAGACGAAGTGGCAGTTTCCCTTAAGGCTTTCCAGTTAGTAAGCAATAAGCTGAGGTACAGAAGCAGAAAGAGGCAGTTACTAACAAAAATAGGGGCAGTTTTAAAATAGGGACGGCTGCTGACTACGTGCTGACAAAATCCTGGGCAAAATTTCCACTTCATCCCCCACTTTGATGCTCTCTTATGGTTATTAGGGAGCATCCCCTTTTACACCCTGGTGTCTGTACTTAGCGGCTTATACTCACAGAGGGCTAGTAACTGAGCACTTGGTTTTCTAATTACCATGACTTCAGGAAACTGCCAGAGTATGTTAATTAGGCAAGGGCCAAGATTATTAATAGCAAAACAGGAAGTGACATTTTACACCAGAAATGGACAAAGAATATCCCTCAAGGGAAGACAATAATGTCAGCACAACAGTAGAACAACAAATGCTGTCCAAGTATTAAGATTTCAGACCACATCTTGCTGGAGCATGATTTTCATGGGATGCCGAGGGTCTGGGCGCACAGACCACCTGTCCAGCGATGTGTCCGGGTGGGCCCTCTCTGCTCTGGAATAGTGTACCCACAGAACGACTCCTGTAACTTGCAGAACAGTTTGGATGACAAGGATTACAGCATGGGGCCCTGTCCAGACAGATTGGAGGGGTTCCTTTTTCCAATCTTTCACCTAGACCTGGTCCCCAAGTTGGAAGGGATGTACTGGATTAGCTAGGGAGAGGTGCTCTTTCTGTTACAAACTGACTGACCGGGGACAGCACTTTTCCCAGTGCCTGCAGCTGGGATGTCATGCTTGTTTCCCCTAGCTGTCTCAGGTCTCCTGTTACTTTGTTAACGGGGCGGGGGGGGGGCGGTGGCGGTGCTCCCGAATAGGATTTCAAAGGGTGAGTAGCCCACGGGTCCTGCTGTACACCATGATTGCAACAGGGCTAGGGGAATTATATCTACCCAGGAAGCCTGGGTTTCCTGACAGAGCTTTGCTAGTGTAACCTTCAGGGTTGGATTCATGTGCTCCACTTTCCCTGAACTTTGTGGCCTGTAGGCTGTATGAAGTTTCCACTTAATCTTGAGCACACTGGTGAGGGCTTGGATGATTTCTGCCACAAATGCTGGCCCATTGTCACTGTGTATGGTGGATGCTGTCCCATTGTCATTGTGTATGGTGAATGCTGGCCCACTGTCACTGTGTATGGTGGAATCCCATATCAGGGAACAATTTCACAAAATAGGACTTCCACTACTTCTCGGGCTCTTTCCATCTTAGTTGGCAGTGCCTCAGCCCAGCCTGAGTACGTACATACAAGGACCTGTAGGCATTTGTACCCTTTACTGGGCTTAATTTCAGTGAAGTCCACCTCTATGTCCTCAAAGGGGTAGACCCCCACCTGTTGCACCCCTGGGGCAGGTTTCAGTCACTGTGGGGGGGTTGCTTTTAGCACAGGTAAGGCACTGATTGCTTACTGCAGCAGAGTTTAGGGAGGGTTGCAATATAGTAATAGCTGTGGAGTAAGGTCTCCAGAGCAGTTTTACCTAGGTAGTGAGACCATGGCCCTGAGTAACGATGGTGTGAGCCAAGTTCCTGGGCACTATCGGTCTGTGGTCAGGGAGTAGCCACCATCCCCCAGCACTCTGCTTTCCCCCTCCTGCTGTGCCCACTGGTTTTCTTCCTTAGAGCACTCTGGCTTTCCCATATCCTCTTGGAGCCAAGGGGTGACTGAATAAGTGGGCGGGGGCCCGTACAGGTTCTTTCTGCAGTGCGGCTGCCTTAGCTTCTCTGTCAGCCAGACGGTTTCCTATAGAGATAAGATCAGTTCCTCTTTGGTGGCCCTTGCAATGCACGACAGCTACCTCTTTGGGCTTCCAAACTCCTTCTAGCAGTCTGAGAATTTCTTCCTTATTTTTGATTTCTTTTCCTCCTACTGTTAGCAGCCCTCTCTCCTTGTATATCACCCCATGTATGTGGACAGTTGCAAAGGCGAACTTGGAGTCAGTGTGAATATTGGCCACTTTACCTTCTGCATGGCACAGGGCCTGAATGAGGGCATGTACTTCTGCCCATTGTGCTGACCAGCTGCTGGGCAAAGGGGCTGCCTCGACCACTTCAGTGGCAGTGGTGACTGCATACCCTGCATACCTCTTCCCATTTTGGACATAGCTGCTTCCATCAGTGAACAGGTTTAAGTCTGCCTTTGGAAGGGGACAGTCCTTCAGGTCTGGCAGACTAGTAAAGATTTCATCTACCACCTCCTCACAGTCTTGGTCTAGGGTCCCCTCCTCTGTGGGTAGAAATGTGGCTGGGTTGAGGCCACTGTCTCAATGGTGACCCGTGGGTTTTCGTAGAGCAGCCCTTGGTAGTGGGTTAAACAAACATTTGAGAGCCACTGGTGCCCCTGACTGCTCATAAGGGTGGACACTGAGTGAGGCACTTTGATATGGACAGTCTGGCCCAAGGTTAGCTTGTCAGCTTCCTTCATCAGAATAACTGTGGCAGCTAAGGCTCAGAGACAAGGGGGTCATTCCGATGCTACTGCATCCAACTGTTTAGACAGATATGTTACTGGTCTCTGCCAAGGCCCAATGGTCTGGGTGAGGACCCCAAGTGCTATCTTCTTTCTATCCTGAATGAATAGATTGAATTCTCAGGTGACATCTGGAAGTCCTAGTGTTGGGGCACTTTGGAGCAGTGCCTTGATTTCCCAGAAAGCCATGTCTTGGCTACCACCCCCCTCAAGGGGTCCATAGTCGGGAATCCATATTCGGCAGAAGCCTGCCACCCCGAGAAACTCCCTGAGCTTCCACTTGGTATTGGGAGTGGGCGTGGAGCAAATCACCCTTTTTCTCTCTGGTCCCAAGGACCGGTGTCCTTTGGTGCTGATGAACCCCAGGTATCTCACCTGTCGTCTGCATATTTGGGCCTTAGCCATCCCTAGGGGCTTCATCTCTGCCCAGACTGCAGGGAAGGAGTCCAGGAATTCTGGTGGGATTTCCTCTGACCTCTCGGCAGTGTGCAGTTTTCATTCTTCCTCACGTGGAAGTGTGACTGCCTGGACCAGGCCCCATTTTGGCTCACTCAAAGTCAGACTGGCTGGCTCCCCTGGTTTAAAAGCAATTTGTGCCCTTAACAAGTCTCTTCCCAAAAGGGGAACAGGACATTTCAGTAGGTAGAGGAACTCATGGCATACCTGGTGCCCTCCTAATTGGCATATCCGATCTTGGCA